GAAGAAATAGTTCACCTGTAGAGTTCTCCAGTTATATAGCACTGGACGAAGTTGTTAACCACAACAAAAACTCGTATATGAATGTAGAAGCATAACGAATTAACGGCAAAAATGTTGTTGTAAAGGAATGTTTAGTAGTAAAGGAGCAAGAGTAACGATATAAGAGAATTTCAAGGTACTATACAGCTTATCCGTTTGGAGTGACACGTGATAACGAGGTATGATTTTGATACCGGGGGGGGAGGCAGCGCTATCGGCAACTGCAGGTGACGGTCGGGGAGTTACTGACGGTAGGGAAAGGTGAACGGTTACGAGAACGGGGAGCGAAGTCAGCGGTAGGTAGTGGAGGAACACCGGCTAATTTAGCCAACTAACGGTTACACCATCCTCATCCGACATCCATGCGAGAAGTAACCTAAGCTCATCCAAACCACTTTGTTTGATCTGTATTTTGTTATACGCGGTCGCATGCACACACTCGAAGGCGGAATAGCCAACATGTAGATCAGATATAAATGATGCAAATAAAAAGAGAGCAACTGAAGCCGACCATTTTATTTTCCAATTCTGAGTCTAAGTCTCAGATTATTTCTAGATACCGTAGCCTAACCTTCCCCCTTTTTGGTTTTATCCTTATTCCAAATAATAAGCTAAACATTCCATCTACACTGAAATGCTAACATAAATCTCCTTCTATCAACAATTAATATTTCACCAAATACTTCCAGCCCTTGCGCTCCACATATAAATATGTATCTATTTCTGTCTACATTTAAATAAATGCCGAACATTTTTAGCTAAACCTGTTGGCCAGCGAGGCATACTTCCGGGATTTTGTAAATGACTGGAAAACCTTTTACAACATCGCCTACGGCAATATTGACTATAGGTAAGACGTTCTATGTTTTTGAAAAATCAATTTATGACCAGGGTCGTCTTTCGTTATATCGGAATGAAGTGCGTACGATTATTTTATACCACGGGTTGAAATATGTCCCCCTATTTCCCCTTTTTGATAACAACTTCTGCTTACCTAATTTAAATGGTCCGCGATTTAATAGTTGACACTTTAAGACGTATACTACATTTTTAATATTCTCAACCACAGTATCACGCCAATGTCAACATAATCAATGAAAGACATATAACAAATATCGTTGGCGACGGATGCATGTATTCTGCGGGTGCCCCGATTGGCCATGCTGAGGTTAGCTTGTTATTTTCCATAGGATGACGCCCTGATGGGCTTCTAATACTTTCAATCAAAATCTATAATATTCCTACGGACGACGAAGTACAAAAATCTGTCAGTTCAGCCCAATATCTCTAAATAGCAGTAGGAGTTAAAGAAATTGAGGAATTGAGGATACTCACAGTACCAAAACATGTGCGTTGTTGGGTTGAGAAGGCGGCGAACCCTGCGGCTTCAGCATATTTTGAATTAAATTGAATTTATGCTCATACTAATTAAGTAGCCTAACGATCGAACAGTTATCAGAGAAATTTTAACTTGGTTCGGAGAACAGTTTAAACGTGCTATTCTCGATTATAATAAACGCGATGAAAGTTTAGTAGCGCAAAATAGTCGGCTGGCAGTAACCAGTAGTACGGTGAATTTTGCATCGAACCTGGAGGTTGTGCAAAAAGGCAGTACCATATGAGATTTACGATGGTTAATATCATGCAGTAAAAATATTGCCAAGTTTAAAAAAAACAAATTGTGGCTTGGTTACTTCTCAGTGTAATGCATCGACTGGCAGATGTTATTTCTCAGTGAAAATCACTCATCCTGTAATGACAATATGCTACTGTTTGAGAGGTGGAACGCCACGTCTTTGAAGTCGTTGAAATCGCCAAACTTCAAGCGTTCTCAAATACGCGATCATAAAAACTGATTTCCCGCTGAAGAACCCTATTTTTGCTCATTTTCTCAGCCGAACACGTCTGTCAAAGGAGCTTCTTAATGCCTGGACTTTAGGGCATTATTTTATAAGCATACTTTTCGGTCAGTCGCCCTTCTGCCAGACACATTGTTCAGACAGATCAGTCATGTGTTGCATCTGACCGGCACGCGGTGAGGCTTCCTAAGTGCCTCTATTTACGAGTTAACCAAACAAGGCACTTTATGCTGTGGTTCTGAAAGAGACATATTTGTAATTAGTCAGCTAAATACCAGAATTTAAGCGGAAAACTAAAATTTGCGTCGACATTTTACAAATTGAGCTGCTTTTTTATACAATAGATGCAACAGTTCATAACTGCCTGCTTAATGACAGAAGGCTTCTAACAAATAATGTAAAAGACTTCCTGATGTCCTGAAAACGGCAACAATGTATCAAGTGTTATATTCATTCGGCTAGGATATATCGTCTCATATGTGGCCATGAGACACCCATACGCCTAACTCTTTGGAGTTTTTGTCTAATACAGGCTTCCCTCGCACTCCTCAAACTGGTTCACAGAGCTGGTTGAGAGTTCACTTAACGAAAATATTGACTCATACCTCAGGACTCAAGCAGACCTTCTCCAGTTTACTGGCGAATTATTCACACAGGGACCAAACAAGGCCGAAAGGGTGGATTCTAGAAGATCGTTTATATTAAACACGTCTGCTGGTAAGTTGCCATCCAATTTTGAATTGTCAAAACTGGTGTATATAGACCCCCAAAGTGAGCTCTTCTGTCGGGCAAGAAAGTTCTATTACAATGCACAGCATAGCTTAAAACGGTCAAAAAGGAGCTTAGTTATTATTTCTGTTCAGTAAACGAATCTGATTGATGACCAAATATGTGCAGTTGTAAGGAAAGTAAGTAAATCTCAATGCGCCAAAACACATTTGCTTAAGATAACCTTTTGATCCACTTACTTCAGCGACCCCTCAAACATATTGTTAAGAACAATATGCGGTCGCTGGAATAATAGGTTTATTAGCCTCAGTTATCTTATTCACTATCAAGAAGGAATGTGAATGTTCCAGCCAATCGACTTCCAAGAGCTACACCCTAATGTTTGCAGAACGCACTTCTGGGGTCATCTCAATAATAGTCTCTTGATCATCTTCCTTTCCTTCGGAAACTTCTCTTTCCTT